ACCTCCAGTCTGCCTTCTCATATTCACCTACCGTAGTGATGACCAAGACCAAACACCCCCCACTTTGAGTACCCTGTGCTGTCAAACAGATTATAATCTTAAGAAAATATTTCTATTAGTAGCATAAAGTGAAACCATTTCATAACTGGAGGAGAAAGAGAAGCTAGAGTCTGAATCCAAGTATTTCTTTGAGAACAGTCAAAAACAAAAACAGAAACAAAAAAACCCTGTCCCAGTCATCCACCAGATGATTGTTAGAATTACAGCCAATGCTTAAGCAATACAACATCGAGCTAGGAAAGTCATTGTACAGTTGTTCTGCTTAGGGAGTAGCTCTTACTAGTTTACAAAGCATTGGGCAAACTATTTCTCTTTAACTAATTTTCAGAAGCTGCAATATAGAACTGCAGTGTTAGTGCAAGAATATGCTCATCTTCACCAAGGCCTGGGATTTACATTGCAGAAATTCATCAAATTTACATCACTCCAAGTGTTCCATGTCCAAATCATCTAGAGTCGTTATTACGGACTTTTACATTTCTACCCAAGGAATGGCTGGGTTTCGAAGTTTGATCAACCAAAGTCTTTTACACTGAACTGCAATTTAACAAAGCAGAGTACCAGTTAAAGCCAAAGAACACAAGTACTCAGCACGTACATGTTTTGATACAGTACAGTATGTATGTGTGTATATATATATACGCATAAATATGTATATGTTACATTATAAGGAGAATGTCATTCAGGACTTCTCAACTACAAGAATCCTTTTACCACCTGCAAATCTTGAAACTTCAGCCCTTTAAATTTCACATCAAGACAATTAGAACTCCAATATTTTCCAGACTGAATTATTATTTCTAGTTTAGCCAATTAACCAAGCAGGGCCAGCTGAAAGAACAGAAGCTTTAATTTTAATAACACCAGTTCTGCCACCTCAGGCAGATGGCACAATTTCTATCACCGGATCGTTTGCTCCTTCCCTGCCCTGAAGGTGGTCTCATGGGTATTTCTATGAGTTCTCAGACCATCGCCAGAGCCATACTAACTGATCTGTAGCAATTTACTTAGTTGCCAGAGAAAATGCCGCAATTGATCAAATAATTTCAAACAGCCAGTACAGTTCTGATGAGAACTTAGCAATACTGGCTGGAGTCATATTGGTTTTAATCATGTAATGGTTCTGCCTTTTCATTCCCCGCAAGCCCACTTCTACTCATAGTGGCTGTCACCACACATACAAGGTAAGAGCTGGACAGTTTGGGATACCATACTAGTCATTGTAATCCTAAAACCCAGAGATTATAAAGGTCTGCTGTACAAATTTCACATATAGAGCTGAAGCTGAAAAAAAAGTCATTCAAATCACTTTGAGCAGGAGGTTTCATTTGTTACTTTTAAAAAAAAAATAGGAGCAACAACAACCAAAAAAAAAAAGGCAAGAAGAAATGTAACAGGCACATAAGACCACAGTAAATGCAAAACCTTTTGGATATTTAGATGAGGGGGACCTACTCATCTCTCTTGCATTTAGTCTATCTAGAATTTAGATATCTAGCCCAATCATTTGTGCTTCCTGCAGTCTTGAGGAGAAAAAAGCTTCCTTCAGCAGGCTGTCACATCCTCAAATAGGGCAAATGAGTCTCTCCAGGGACAGCAGACCCTCTGTAACCACAGGGAGAGTCTGAGCAGTTAGCTAGATCACCCACCCCTTACACAGGTGAGACAAGTCTATCTCTCACTCATAAGCCACTAATAAATCCTGGAGGTTTTGCTTGGTTCCTGCATGAACAAACACCAACTTCAACAGGGCAAGGGTTTGTTTTTGGGAGGCAGAGGGGAAGGTTGGTCGGCAGTCCAGTCTCACACCAACGCTGCTCTACTTGCACTAGGCACACAGCCATGACGGTTCATGGCCAGTTTGCCCACGTACAACCACCTGCTAGTTACGCAGCATCAGGCAACAAGGCCAAAGGGTGCAACGTGTTTTCCTAACACCCAGAGATGCATCTCAGTCTACACCTTCCCCAAGAGGGGCAGCGGAGGAGGTGGTGCTAATCTCCTCTCTGGTCACCAGCGACAGGACATGAGGAAAGGGAATGACGCTGTGTCAGGGCAAGTTCAGACTGGACATTAGGAAAAGGTTCTTCACAGAGAGGTGGGTGGTCACTGGAACAGGCTCCCCAGGGAAGCGGTCACAGCACCAAGCCTGTCAGAGTTCAAGGAGTGTCTGGACGGCACTCTTAGTGATATGGTTTAGGTAGTCCTGTGTGGAGCCAGGAGCTGGACTCAATGATCCTTATGGGTCCCTTCCAACTCAAGATGCTCTATGATTGTTGAGTGTTGAAGTAACTCAACATTCTCCTAGACACCAAACTAACCGTGCTGCATCTTCATGGGTGTGTATGTTACTGAGCACAATCCTCCAAATTTCTACTGGGACTAGAGAGGTTCAAGAAGGACCAGAACTCCTCTGTCAGGTAAGCATAGGCCTTACACACACATTAAAGTTACACAGCTTTACAAACAGGCTAACATAGATACAACAGTAGAGCCCACCTAGTAGGACAATATTTATGATCTATGTGATTGTTTACTCTGGTATACCTTCTTACAGCATAGAAAGGAGAACAAGATACATTGTCAAATTCACCCTCATACCAGTATAAAATTGTTTTATTAAAAAAAATTCTAAATATAACAAGGCCCTAATAGAGAGTTATTTTTGTTCAAAATTAATCAAGCAAGTGCTACTGGAACACTACGAGGAGTTTTGCATATAATTCCTTATGGGCAAGATTTGTTCTTTTAAATAATCAAGAACAAGGTTTTATTTGTTTTCTTTTTTTTAAATAAGTGAACAGTTCTCAGTCCCTAACTCTGGGAGCAAAGCTACCTCTATCCTTTCTTCACATTGCTGTGTTTCAGTATTGCTGTGTCCCCTAAATTACATGGTTATCACATGTAAGTGGATACAGTTCAGGCTATACTCCTGGCAACTCCAAGGTCTTTTTTAAACCTTCAGTGCCCAGGGCCGGGGGCTCCCCAGCTGCCCCCCTCCATGTGCACGGCAATGCTGAGCAGGCTGCAGAGCCAGGAAGGCAACACAGGCCCCAAGGCAGGGTCGAGCTTGACATGGCCTCACCTTCCTCTCAAAAAGATGGCATTCCCATCCTCTACAAAGGCGTATCTTCCCCCCAAAGGTCCCTTCAGCTTCTCTGTCTGACCTCCGTCACTCCAGGAGACCATATACAACTTCCTCACCTACACAACCTGGTCCTCAACCAAGAAGCCTCAAGCTCCTTCACTTTAGGGGGAGGAATCGCCATGTCCCAAAGTCCTGGGCATCCTTTTAGGAGAAACACTACAGTTCATGGAGCATCTAGGATAGCCAGTTGAGCAAGATCGTGCCTAAGTAGGCAATGTTACTCAATTAGCTGAGTTGGCTGAAGGTTTTCCCATTGTAACACAATTTTTCTATTCTAGCATTATTTTTGGTATAAAAAAAAAAATCAGTGGAGATGGGTGGGGTTTATTGCACAAAACGATGCTTTTAATGAAAAAAAAGTTGCTTTTCTCAATATTTTGCTGTTTGTTTCTGTTGGGGAAAATTGAAACACATTTTTGTCAGAAAAATATCAGTACGTGTCCGTCCTAATTCCTCCAGTGTCAGCTGGGAGCTGTAATTCACAGGGTTCCATGTCCCCCTCTTTCACAGAGGGCTGAGCTCCTGGGCACCCCTCCAGCCTTCATGACGCATTCCCCCTTTGACTAACCCATGGTAAGAGCAGCATCATGGGATCTGTAACCCAGCCAAAGAGCTGGGCCCCAAGGGAGACACGGCGCACAAGGCACTTGAATGGTAATTTCTGAGGTCTGCAACAGTAGCTCAAACTGATGCTGCTTTAAGGGCCAAATGGATTTAATTAAATGTTTCCATTTCAAAAGGCTAGAACATTTTATTCAGCATTTTCCAGATGATAGTTTCTTATTTTTTGAAAAATTTCCATTCCAGGAATATTTTTGGTATTTCAGCTTTCCATCTCAATTCACGATGAAATTAAATGTTCAAGTATCAGAGTTTGATGCTATATGGACATTCTGTTTGGGAAACAGCCTTATTAATTAGCTACCAAAAGTGAAATGACTCCATCCATGCAAGAAGGGTGTGATCCAGTTTGCCTTTGACATCAGTGGAAGCCACTTTTTCAGCTTAGTGGAGCCTGGATGGCGTCCCAAAAGACCAGGGGAGGGTGGAGTTGACCATAGTTGCAGATATTGGAAACAGAAGTCAAGAGTGAAATAGCAAGAATATAAGCAGCGGCAACTAAGATGATCCATTACCTGGACTCAATCAAAACCCATTTTTACTTACTTGAGTTAGTAACAGGAGGAAAAATCATTAAGATTATAAAACGTAATTGCCAGTTACAGTAAAGATAGCAGTTAATCAATGCTTTGTAGAGTAGAATAAATCCATAGTATGAATTTGTCATGAGCTCTATAACTTTCAATCTTCAAAACATTTCCTCAGAAAACCTTCATATACTCCATTCAAGGAGACTATTCTAAAGCTAAAGATAGAATATGGTACTGAACTGCTTGCCTCACGTTGTCTGTCCTCTGTCAAACCCTGCAAAATTGTTCTGTTGGACTGGTATTACAGAAGCTCCGTCAGGATGGACCAAGGTCACTGGCTTTTGAGCACATCTACAGGTGGAAAGCAGCTAAGTGTGGGCTTCCAGCGTTGACACTCTGGGTGAGGACTGGGCACCAAATCCATCCTCTCCATTGCCCAATCTGTTTCTAGATTTAGTCCCAAGCCTTCCACCGCAAAGAGTAAAAGAAGAGCCCCAGGGAGCCTATGTCCATCAGCAACAGGGTGTGTGTTGAAAGCAAGAGAGCACTCAGAACAGTAAATAAATCAATTCACCCAACCATGAGGGGTCTCGAGAATTGGTTTTTGTTTATCTTTCATTTCCCTTTAGTACAAGGCAGATGTTTCTAAGCAATAAGCAGAAACCTCGACAATTTTTAAGACTAAAGAGGGAAGGAGGAAGAAACATGCACAAGCTTTGAGGATGTTCTCAGCTCCGGCTTAAAAAAAAAAACCCCAAAAACAAAACAAAAACACACCACCAAAAATGTATATCTATAAAAGCAAGTTCTTCCTTAAGCTGTTTGGTAATTCTTAGTTCATAGGAGCATTTTATCCAGAAGGTTCTTCATGTTTCCAGTCTAGGTTGTAGCAATCTCAGTGAGGCACTAAATTTTAGGCTGTTAAAGTCTTTCTGTGCAGCACGGTCATTTTAAAATGATGTGGTAGCCATCATTGCTTTCAGCTGAAACAAAGAAATGCAAAGCATTTTTTCATTGCTTTTAGAAAACAGCACAGATACAGAACTCCAGATTTTCTTCTTAGGTAGTTTGCAATAGTCTTGTTCCACAACCCATTCATAAAAATCAATGTTAAACATCTAGGTCAAAGTATTTGTATAAAAAAAACCCCAACATACTAACTGTCATCTTTTATCATTTTACTAGAAGGTTTTCTGCTCGTTTATATCAGTGGTATCAATGGATTTATGAAAGTTTTATAACAGCGTAATTGAGAGGAAAGCATAGACCAATCAGTCTATCATAGTGTAAGTTGATGCAACATCTTGACTTACACTAAATTAGATTACTTATCTTTTCAGGATAACAGCATCGAGTTTGTGATAATGTTTAGTGCAATTAAAAAGAGAAATTATCTTTACAACTACAGGTAATAGTGGCAGCAATACATACCTTTTAATGTGCTGATAACAAAACAAGATTCATCTTGGAAGTTTTGTACCATCTGAAGGGCAGAAGGAAAAAAGCCAACACAAAATATTTTTAGCAATTTAATTCAAGTTTCTTTCAGTGCCAGCATAGAATTTAGAGCAGAGTTATCGAACAACATTTGGTGTCTAGTCCTACATAGTCCTGAGTAATCCTGCCCGTAAGATTATTAAAGTACATGACTGATTGATTAAGGTCTTTGCAGCTGCTAATGTGCTTGAGAAGCTTATACTAAAGGGCTTGCCTGGAACTGATCTGGCTTGTTCAGCATTTTACCATGCCGTTTACAGCTCTTGATCCTGCAAGTTCTTATACCACTCCAGTTAGTCTATTATTAAAGACCGTGATCTTAATTGCCTTCAATGAAGCTATACTAGTTTAGACTGGATGAAGACAGTCCCACTCCTAAAATCTAGCAATGGTAACATACATACATTCAGCTGAGCCATGAAGCTTTGTTGAGCTTACATGAGCATCTAGGATAATATCTAGAGGTGGTCAGCCCTGAGAAATGGACTCCTTGCTGACTAAAGGAACATTGCTACTTATAAAGCCATCTTTAAGCAGTGTCCGCTTGGTTGTTTTGACCAGACATTAGTATAGATGCTGTGCTTGCAGGAATCATTTACCTGTTTGTATTTTGTCAAGGCACAGCAATCTTAATGAAACTGCTATGAGAGACAAGGCAAATCACGGGAAGCAAGATCAGTATCTAAAACTATCCGAGTTATTCATGACAAACAACTAGATTTTCAGAACACGTGCAGGTTCTAGTGAGGCCCCTAACTAAAGGGGTGAGTTAAGAGATTCAGCTGACTTCAGATCCAATCTGAAATGCTCATTTAAGCTTCATCCTTAGTCAATACTTCCTCCCATCTTAGAGTAGCTGCGTGGTACAGAGGAGGTGAATTACCTTCAAGATGTGTCTCACAGTTAGAGCAGATGCTGGACACCTAACTTCAGAGGGGATGCAACTAGAACCTCTCTGATCAGCTCAGAAAATCCAGCTTTAAGCAAAAGCCTTCTCCTAGCTATTTATCAGTCAAGTAGAGCATGTTCCAGCTGTAAGTTCTCACACCAAATATCCTTTTCATCTTAAACTAATTTCCCTATTCTCTTTTGGGTTTACCATCCACCCCCTGCTCTTGCAAATCAAACTTCACTGGCTAGTCTGTGTGTCTGTGCCTAATGATGCATGAAGTACATTCATAGAGTGCCTCACTCTTGCCGCTATAGTACTAGGACAAGAAAAAAATTATGAAAAAAGCAACAGACGTTGTTAATAATTCACTTAAATAAATACTTAAGGCCTTATACCCAAGCTGGTTCAGGCAATTCCCCTACCAAGAGTTGCCTCCAAGCACTTTACATCCATAAAGCATCAAGGTTTCAGATTTAATCAGGCTGAAATAGCAAGGAGACTTTAGAGAAAAGCATTACAGCCTTCAATTTAGGCTCCAGTTGAGACCTATGCTCTGCTTCATTTGTTTTAACAATGTTTCTTATAAATGAAGCTCCTTAAGTGATTCTGGTGCATGAATGAGTAAGTAATTTAGTGGGAGGAAAACAGGAAGAAGGGCAACTCGCTATTAACCTGCAAGTTAATGGAATGGACTAAATTAAGCCATCATATAAGGGCACACAAACAGCTAACAGAGGTCCATGAAATTATAGTGTGCACTTACACAGCACTGACTCTGACCCAGTGGCTGTAATCATTGGCCAAGATGTAAGACTAATTACCCTAAAGATTTTCAAACTTGCCTTCTATAGGAAACTTTCCTATCAATTTTAAAGGTTCTCACTTTAGATCCTTTCTTCAGAATGTGTTTAAGTAGCCAACACGAAAAGGAAATGACCAATTTTGTTGTGTTTTGTTTTCAAAAAAAACACCTCTTACAAAGAAAAAATCTTAAAACTATACCAAAATCACTGGCATAATGTTTGCATTAACCTCTTACCTCGTTGCTCACTAATACATGGATCCCTGTGGGTCCCTGCCGATAGATTCGATTTATCTGCTGTGGAGAAATGCTGTACAAGTTTGCAATTTTCTCGATTAATTCCAGCGTGGTCAATTCTTCCAAGAAGATTGCATGATATACTGCAACAAGTTGACAACAATTACAGAATTACAGAGTAATTATAGAATAGCAACTACAGATAACACCAAGATGCTCAATATGAACAACCAAATAGGTTTAAGATCAAGGTTCAAATCCTGACAGTAGATAAACAAGCTTAGTAACTTTAAAGCAGCCTCCAGATATCCAGCTTGATGATTTGTAGAAAAATACCCAGTATTGGATGCAGTGGGCAAATAAAGCACACATCACTTTTGCCCAGAGGAAAACACGGGAACTAAAGACAACATATATCATGGGGTACTAAAAAAACCCTCTCATAAAGATGTTAATATTTTTGGATAATCTACTTTTACTGATTTTGACATTTTAAAGTAGATCCAATTAAATAGTAAAACACATGCTATGATGTTACACAAAAGTCGTATTTTATTAGATGTTATCCCACTGACCCCCACAGGCACAAACTAAAGACTACAATGCATCAAATAACTGTAGATGATAGTATTATTTTTTAAATCCAATCCAAATGGTAGAAACAACCAGGTAGAAAAGCTGTACCTGTTTAATGCTATGCACAAGAACTGAGGACAATCTCTATTCTCATTTGATTGTACATCACGTCATAAGGGATAGTTAAGAGCTGTGAGTCCACAAAAGCTTTGAACTTCCAAGAATTGGAACCTCACTTTAAGACATACCGACCTTCCATAGCCCAGAATATTTTCAAACAAGCCATAGCCTAAAGCTAATTGTGGATGGGAAGGTAGTTTTTAATGCTATGGTCCCTATTAAGAACTGAATAGAGGCTTTGCTGTGGCATTCTGCAGATAGCTTGTAAGTTGGGTCTGTTTCCCAGGCAGACAGTACCAGTTGGAATTTGTAGCCCTGAAACTAACCAAAGTGCCAGAACTGGGATAAACAGGACTTCTTCAAACGCGCATGACACCAAGCTGTCCCATGCAGGAGCTCAGGCTAAAAGCAGCACTCTCACCAGATAAGTGTTTAACAAAATCCATACATAAAAACTTACCACAAAGACTGCCATCTCCATTTTCTCGTTTTTGGTGGAGATGGGACCTGTTTTGCTCTGGTTCTTGACAGACATAAATTGTCATCTTGGGCCTTACATTTCTATGGATTATTAAAAAACAGTAGTGAGTTATTTAGTAGATCTGAAATCGTTCCAGTCAGCTAGCAAACACTGAGAGATGGAATCATTCAGGCTGTGCATAAATAACCAACTAAGGGATAGTCTTGATGCTGGTGACTAGATGTCTTAGGAGGCCTAGTAAGAGCCTGCTGGGAGGTGGTGGTACAGTGCAGAGCACCTTAATCTCTTCAGGATCAGATAAGAATAAACAGCTTTCAGCACTTGCAAGCAGCTCATCATACCTGCCTTTACTGATCTGAATTCCTGCCCAGCTGGAGGATTTATGTTATTGCCATATAAGTAAGTTTAAGAGTCATTTGAGGCTCCAGGGATTGGTTGGTTGGTTTGTTGCCTGTGACGCAGATGCAACACAGGGTATCGTAGACTGTGTCTCATATGAAGCTGATGGAAGCTATCAGCTGGTAGCAAACAAACCACTGGAGATCAACATTATGACGCTTCATTTCAGCAACATTTCTGAGCTGTGCTTGGATTTGAATACCATTATGATCTCCAGCCTCCGAGATGACCTCTCTGAAGTGTTTAAAAGGAGGTCTAAATGCTACAGCTCTAGGATTAACTTCTAGTTAACACTGAAATTATCAAGGGATGCTGCCATAATAAAAAAAAAAATAGGAAGGAAGACGTACAAACCTTCCTTTGATTGCATTAAAGAGCCGAATTCCATCAGCAGGCCCACAGATTTGAACAAAATCTTCTTTGGACATCTTCAGTAAGTCAGCACCTACATATTTCAAATTGATTTTTTTCAGAAGATAAGCAAATCTTAGCTTCCAAATTGTGTGTATGGGCAGCAGAAAAGGGCAGGGGCAGAGAATCCACAAAGCTAAATCAGACAGATTTGCCTAGAGAAGTTGCAAATTCAGAGAGATGTACACTGCAAATCAATCATTGTGAAACAGAGAGCTAGAAGCTGCCAAAAGAGCAGTGCTGCACTGGAAGATATTCTATCCAACTCAGAGACAAGCTAGTTATTTAAGACTGGCCATTAAATGGCCCAATTTTCTCTAACTGCCATGTTTACCAGGTTGTTTAATCATGTTGCAAGTCAAAGAGAGGCTCCTCAAAGTTTCAACATCTTTAACAATTCCCCCTTCCACCGTTTTACTGCTGCGTACAGCTATCTAATGGGAGGGTACAGTGAAGATGGAGCTGCAGATGGAGCCAGACTCTTCTCAAAAGTGCACAGGGACAGGGTGAGAGGCAGCAGACAGAAGATGGGAAACACCGATTAGGTATAAGGAAAAATTTTTTTTCACTGTGAGAGTAGGCAAGTATTTGAAGAGGTTGCTTAAAGAGAGATTGTGGAATTTCGAACCTTGGAGATACTCAAATGTAACTGCACAAAGCTCTGAACTTGCTTTAAGCAGGAGGGTTGCACCTAATGAACTCAAGTTCATTCCACCTTAACTGATTCTCTTCCATCTTAACTTACCCTACATTTCTACAAACTGCTTTGGCAAATGCTAACTAATCTAGAACAAAAGAAAAACCACACTGGATCAGACCAGTGCTCCCACCAACAGTGGCCAGCAGCAGATGCTATTGATATGAAGCATCAGCTGCACTTACAAAAGAGAATAAAGACAAAATAATTGGACTGTTTAAACTCACCCGAAAAACTTGAGAAGAGTCTACAGAATGGAGAGAACCTATTACGATGAAGCCACTGCTGGGCATCTTGAATAGAAGCAGAAGGAAGGAGATGCTACATTGCAAAAAGAATAAGAAGGTCTTGAAATGAACTGTTCACCAGTGTCCTAAAAAAGAAAAGCACCACATTAACATGATCTCAAGTACTTACATCATTGCTGGGAGGCAGGAGCTCCACTTGGTGGGTTGGAGAACTGTTGCTAAAAAAAATTATATAAAGTTGGAAGAGAAAAAAAACATTATTTTAAATTTTACATTGCAATGTCCATCCTCTTCCCCCTCCTTCATTCGACTCAACTGTCACAAGTTACATATCAACTCGGCTTTTTTCTCTATCAGATTTTAAAACAGGTGTTCAAAATCTGAACCAAGGAAAAAACCAAACTGTACTTCAGCCTCTTGTTGGTCAGTTGAGGTCCTACTCAGAACTGAGACAAATACTCAGTTCTGTCCTCATTCAAGCTTTTCCATACAGGTGACTCGCTAATGTGATGCCATCTAAGCAAGGAAGTTGTGACCTACTAGTATGGCTGAACTGAAACATTCTACAAGCCAGAGATCCCCTAACTAAATCCACTCTCTAATAACAAGTCTTTGCAAAATTTTAATAAAGAACCTTATAATTCAAATCTGGTGTTATTTTAAACATAGTGAATTGCAATTTAACTATATTAGATAAAACCACATTTCTACTAAACCCTCCCAAAACACAGACAGGACTTTAACACATCAAGGATTTTCCCAGAGTTAATAATCTACCTCTGGAAGAAAATGCTCTAACAGATCTCTCTACTAACACCAATTTTTGTCATTTCAGTGTTTCTCCTTATTCATGGGTTGAGGTTGCTCAGTGAAAATTTGTGATACAACAATTGATTAATTAATGAGCTGTGCAGGAAGGTGACAAGGCTGTAAAGTCCTAGAGGAGGAAAAGAAAGTCCTATGACAAATTCCTATGGGAAAATACATTGCAGGGAGGACTCAGAAGTACCAAGGGACCCTGCTGTGTATTTCTGTCATCAGCTATCATCTTGGGTATTTCAGGACCACTAAAACTGTTTCTTTATGACAGCTATATTAATGAATTAAACATGCCTCCTGTTAATCCTTTGTTCTGGAACAGCTCCTCAGAACCCAAGCTGTTTTGCTCCAAACAGAATTTCTTTAAATCCCATTCAACTGGGAATTCAGCACCTCAAACCACCTCGAGACAGAAAGGAAGGAAGGAATACCAATTCTGAAGAGATGCTTAAAGCCTCTAACACTCTTGTCAGAGATACTGGGAATTTCTGGTACAGGACATGGTGTGTTCTCTGAGCCCCACAAAAGAATGAGAGAGGAAATCCACAGCAGAAATTGTGCTGGTGGTCCTCTGATGCTCACCTCCCATAAGCAGTGAACATACAAATAGTACTCAGCGTTACAGGGAATTCATGGCTGGAAGATCTTAAAAGTCTTTGTGGGAAATGTTTTCCCCTTTCTAGGAAGGGTGGTCCTTGACCTCTTCTTCCAGAGTATGAAATGCAAGGACACACAAAACACATACACATGAAGGCTACCATATCAACAGGAAAGATAAAGCATTTATTTGTTACATACCCATCTCCAAGGTTGAAGCTGTTGGGAGAACTGTTGTAGCTTGGAGATGGAGCATTGTTCATTTGATAAGGCACATCTGGCCAGGGAGAGCACTGTTGGAAGAAAGGCAGCAGGGACACTTTCATAAGGATGAAAATAAGGGATTTGATTCTCCTCTCATACCACATTCATGCTGTTGCCACGCCACTAACTTCAGCTCATCCCTCCTGCTGGGAGGAGGAGACAGGCCATGGATTTTCTACACTGCTCGCCAAGCGGGCTGTCAGGGGGCCAGATTGATTCCAGTTGTGCATTCCACATTTCTCCCATTTCACAAAGCCTGTCCCCAAATAACACTGGGCCAAAGTGTGCACAGCTGTAAGTCAGAGCAACGCCAGTAAGTCAACTCAGACTGAAGGCAGCAATGATATAGAAATACCCCTGGTCTCAATTATAAATCCCTAATTAAATCCAGGCAAGAGTGACAAATACGCTCCAGTGGCATTGCTTCAGGTTTATACCAGTGAAAGAGCAGAATTTGAACCAGCCTGTTAAAACCTCTGGTTATTACTTGAAGAGCTCCAGTTATAAATGGGTATTACAGGGAGAAGATTTAAGATAGACAGACACACACAAAGCTACTAAAAGTCTTCACAAATATAGGCCAAACTCCATATTCCATTACAGTAGTATAAAACCAGGGTAACCCAGCTAGAATTGGTGACTCTGTTCTGAATTTAAGCCACTGCAATCAGCAGGAGAAATCTAACCCTGTGGAACCTTCCACCATCAAGAGCTCAAGAAAACGCTCTGTAGTATCCTTGTTTGCAATGATAAAAAGAAGACAAGCGTAGCTTTGGAGTTTTATCATCTCCACAAATACTAGCAAATCTTTTATCATCTCCACAAGCACTAGCAAATATTTAACTCTTTGGCAACCCACACTTCCCCATGCAATATGTCAAAGTGCATCAGAGCTCACAGGAAGCATTTGAGATCTGCCAACTCAGTAGAATTAGGTCTGTGTACACAAGAGCCTTATTAACAACCACCATGTTGAACTGGAAATCATGCTGGCTGCTCCTGGCAACTTGAGGAAAATTGAGTGGGAGGGACTGCATCTCACAAGCAGGAAGTTTAAATTAAGAAAATCCCCTCATTTTTAGAAGTCCAGCAGCCACTTCAAAAAACCAAAAACTAAATCAAATGACAAAATATTCCCATAGGGAGACAGAACAGCACTTTTAAACCACTGTCTTGAGTCCGGTTGCATAGTAATTCTGCAGCCTGGGGTAAGCTTCTATATACATCTTAGTAATGGCAGGGAGGGGTAGAAACACATCTCAACACCAGATGCATCAGAATATAAGACATTCAAGATATTCCTAGAGTACAAGCCAGAATCTTTTGAGATCTAGTATGTAATACTAGCCTCATAGGCACATGCACAGAAAAACAGATTAATAATTTGATCAGCCTATTCATCTGTTCAAGTGCTCCATCTCCGACATGAGCTTTTGCCAGACAGTTCTGAAGAAAATGCCTCATACAAGTGGCATCTAAGTATCACGACAAGTGCCCAGGCACACGGCAGAAGATACAGAAAACACTTCTTTTAAAGTTAGGCTGTTAAGGGTTGGTTTATACCCTGAAACATAAGAAACTTTGGCATCTTTTATAAACTTCAACAGTGAGAGACATTTTATAATTTCATTCAGGTCTCAATTTTAGTCAGATCTGGGCATACGTGTCTCCACAAGACAATCTCCAAGGCTCAGTTAGACTGCATTTTCTCTCAAATCTACCTCCCAACATGCCAAAGTAGTACAACACGTGTCTAAAACGCTTTACCTCTGTGAGAATAGTTGTCTCATAGGAAGGCTGATACTTCTCCTTCTCTTGGGTGGTCTTCTTCTCCATTTTTTCCCTGTCAGTCTTCTGTTTTCTGTCTGCTCCTTTAGGCTATAAGCACAAGCACAAGCTTTCCCTTATGCCAAGTATTACAAGTTTGGAGACAGAGGCCAACAGATTTTTTTTCTCATCTGTTCACAAAAGTCTCCTTAAAATTTATGGGGACTCAACATATGGAACAAGATCAGATCTGCATTTTCTAGACAAAAGAATTAGTCAAGCAGCTCTACTGTTTCTATAACATCCCCCATTAATGCGTATTGCAATTCCAAAGTAGGCTGACCACAGTCCTGAGATCTGATACTGGCTATTTCAGACCATGAGCCCCATGAGTTATGCACTTCTTTGGTGTTTGTACCATCTCTCCAGGAACAGGAAAGACACTGCTCATAGGAGCAAGACTGGAGCAGCAAATTCTTTGAGAAAACAGGCCTATGAAAAGCTTGTTGTTAAGTGACTACAGGTCTGCCATGCACAAATTAGGAGCTTCAGAGATGAACAGAATCATCTTTCTCTCCTCCAAGTAGCATGGAGAGGAACTCTGCTGCAACCAGCAAAGGGTATTTAAGATCTCCAAGTTACACTTTCACTGTTCATAGAGGATGGAATCAAAGAAACTGGAGATGCCCATATTGTCTTGATTGCCTAGGAGCACCAAAATACAGTGGATACCCTGAATATCATTAGGGTAATATGTTAGCTCAAAATGACTTAAACCCATAGCCTCAACATCCCCGAGAAACTGGACCATATTTTGTATAGTTTGCAATAGGCATCATCTTCAGGACACAAACTTATGGCAGGCAATGCCTTCTAGAGACTACTTGTCTATATTGCATAGAAATTTATTTTGTGCGCTGATGCCTCTCCAATGGGTTTTCATTCCAACCAGTCGAGGTTTGAGTTGCTGGAATCATTACATTTAATACAGCATTTTTTTACATCCACACAGCACAGATCTCAGTATTCATATAGCGTTCAAGGCACAATGAACTGGCATAAGTCCTGGTGCGGCACTTGGGTCATTTGAATTTAACTACAAATGCTGTGTAGCAGCTCAGGGCTTATGTCACTTGGTGTGCAAGAGTCCTGTTTAAGATCTTAAGTGTACCCAGTTAAAAGTCTGTTCTTTTACCCCACTATTTGCATCACTCCTACACAATTTGAAAACTGTGCATGTTCCTGTGTCTTTGTGTAATTCAGTTGATGACAGAGCTAAAACTACCTCATACCTTGAACACTTTGATCTGGCAGCTTGCAGAATGCAAGTGTTCTGTGTATTCACCATTTTCATTCTGCTTAAAGGTGTCGATTTGCACCCGGAAGGGTACCCCTTTCTCTCCTCCATGTTTCCGCGGAGTAAATTCTGTGCTGATGCAATGTACCTGGCAAAACAAAAGCTATGCTCATCTCTGGAGACAGTTGGAAGCTGTGCAAATCTGAATTTCAGACTCCCTGAACTTGCAGGGTGCCTGAACATGAGGTTTTGGCTCCTCCCGAGAAAATAAGAGAGGCAGAAGAGTTCAAAATATTTTCAATTCTGTTCCTCAGGACAAAACAATTAGAAGAACAAGGAGCCCGGAGAGAAACACAGCATCAGGAAGAGCATCCTTTGATTTAAGTAAATCCCACATACAGATTAAAAACAGATAGATGGCGTTTGGGATGAGAAACAGTCACGAAAGAGGAAAGCAAGCAAAACTAAAAGGTTGTGAACAGTTTCCTCCAGACAAAACCCATGCTTAGAAAGCAACATCCTTTAAAAAAAAAAATCCTAGCTGTAGCAGATAGTACCCCAAAGCTAGCAAGTAGGTTTAGCAAGTATCCTACAAACTAATTATACATAATTGTTGCTTGAGTTTCTATATATTATCATTAGCATCTTTCTCTCTTCTTCATGTCCTGGCTATCTTAACTCTCCAGGTCTTCATAAGATATCTCACCATTGTATTTACCACAGGAATATCACTTCTCTCTTACCTGAATGAATGCTGAGGCTCTCTTTGATGGATCCCACAGAAATTCAACAGTGTTCAACTGGGTTGGGCTGGCCCTGGGATCCAAGATACCAACTGACAGCGGAATATCTGTAGAAGAAAACCCCTAAAATTTTAAAAATATTAAATTGAAGAAGAGAAAGCATTTCCATACAATTACAAGATGCATGTGAAAAGCCAAGCCACCAATGATATATCTATTTGGGACCTATAGTGCTAGATCTCCTTCCCACCCAAAGATAAACAGGATTCCTAAGAGAGTAGGATATAAACAAACCTAAACACACAAGCAAACATGCTGTACATCATTCAGCACCTCCATTACAAACACTACACAGGAACCATAATGAAATAGTCTCACCTATATCAAGGATGCGGTCCCCAGGCCGACTCCACCTCCAGCCCTCGAGCTGCTGATGCTCTGTGTACTGCAGGCGTCGATCATGGAAAACTACACGAATTATACTCTGTTAAGAAAAGACAGCAAGATGAACAATGTGATCCAAAGGCCCTTCTCTTGAGATGACTTTGGTTTTCCAGCGTAGAAGCGAAAGCTGATCTGTTCTGTTTCTCACCCCCATTCATGAGGAGAGCAGAGGGTCCACCTAAGAGACCCATCACCATGTTTAGTAAATTCCTAAGGGACCCCTGAGTGAGAGAGCAACACACTTTCCCCTTCACAGCACATGTCTACGCTGTGCAATGGAGCTCTGTACAGCTTTCCGGGATTCTGTCTGGAAGCACTATAGCAATGTCCACCTAACCTTAGGTGTCGTGCCAGGTAAACATCACTATACTGCCTCCACACCCAAAATAGCTCACACAGGGGTAATATTTAATGTGTTTGTACCATGCCCCAAGCCCAGTATTTCCCACTCTGACTAGCAAATGTGAAAGCCAGCTAACCTGTCCCTGCACCAGTGGAGCTGACATGCCCAGACACCTTGTCAGTGGGAATTAAACTTGATTCCAGCCATTAACAGCCAATCATTGGCACTGGATTTGCCCCAGTACACTGGCAAACTGCCCCACTACACAGTCAAATGAATGTAGAGTAGGAAAGCTTTTGTAACAGCAGAATTTTCATCTCTAGCCTGCAATGGTGCAGCCATGTCAATAACTGGAGAAAAAAAGGCTGGAATAAGAGCAATCCCCAGGGCAAACAAGTCCAAAGTACCCCTCGCTAATATATCCTCTGCATCCTACGCTAGCATGAGTCAATGACTCCTTACCTCCCAGTTTGTCAAGGCCATACTCCTGCTAGGGACTTCTGTATCAAATGGGAGTGAGCATTTTTTTGCCAATGAACCTCAGACATGCCCAAATCAAACCCTAGCTCTAAGAAGCAAGCAAACCACAGTGAGGACGCCTGCAAAATTGGAATCCCAATCCACATGCATCCTGAAATGGGCCAAAAGACAAACAGGGAACTGCTTAAACTTGGACAACATTTGAAATCCAGATTGGAATCCAAATTTTGCAACTAGTCCCCACTTCTCAAAAGAAATCCTGAGGCAGAACAGACAAGAATTTGGGAGAGGAAGGCTTGAAGGTTGGTTCCAGAACCAAGATCTGGATCCAAGTTCTTGAATTTGAACTGTTTGGGGAGGTGGGAAACAACAACAACAAAAAAAATCCCCAGAACCAAACCACCAAGTTCTGTGTATTTGTAATTATGCCCATTACCAAAGTAAACTGGAGCTATGCAGAATCTGCATGGCAGAACGATGTAAACACCAGGATCCGCCATTTGACATGTAACAACCCAGGCGTGTTGCTGGGGTTAAGAATGGAGACAAGTCTGCCTCTCAGCGGTTTTGACCACATTCACCTCTGAACTTTGGGATTCCCCTGAACCCAATATTCACAGTGAAACTCTGGGGTCATGATCACAAACAGAATAAAGGTTCCCCTGAAGCCCTGTAAAGCCAAGCTGCATAGTCCCGTGAAACTAGCACTCAACAACTCCATCGGCCCTGCTCCCATTAAAAACAATGGCAAAGTATTTTCCATTGTCTCAGTGTGAGCAAGGTCAGGCCCTTCATTAGAGGCTGTATGTATTAGCAGGAAGAAAAGAAATCTATATTTCTCCTTACCTTTACATATTTTGTGTTTAAATCTTGAAACTCTCCCAATTTCCTATTCTCAAGTAGACGGATTTCATAAGACTGACCTAGAGTTTAAGGAAACATTTCCAAGGTGTTTAATATGTTGTAGCAATGAGAGAGTCATGCTGGCATTTATGTGGCTAATAAAGCATACGTTTGATCAGGGAAAGCTCATTTTTGGTAACATAACGCATTTGCCCCCATTAATCGAGTAGGCAGTAAAGCACAGCAGAAATCTAAGGGGAAGGTTTGTCTTTTGGCAGCTAAAAGCTTTCAGTTAGGGCATTGATCATAGTCTGTCTCCCAGGGTTGCCACAGTTTTCTGGTCACCCTTTAGAAAGTCACCAAGGTGTTGGAGGCAGTTGTCCCCCCGTGTCACATGGCTGTAACATCACTGCCTTCGTCTGTCCCTTCTGCTGAAGCAATGGTTGTGTGAAGAGCTGCTGGCACAAGTCGAGGCACTATTCTGGAGAGGATAGCAACTTGGGCGAAATCTCACCTTCTTCAGAGAGCAGTCAGCTCTTTAAGGTGTTTTGGTGAACCAGAAATACAAGATTTATTCCGTAAGGCCTTGAACATGGCTGCCCAGGACATACACGCTCCTTCCGACATGCGTGTGGAAGCAGCAAGGGGACCAAGGACCAGTTCTGGGAAAGGAATTCATACTCCAGCACCCCATCACCACCACCCTCAGCATAAGGAATTCGGCCTGTTCAGTAGAAGTTAGCTAGCTGGTTTATGAAATAACATCTCCCTCCAAGGCTGACACAGCAGACAAAGGAGACTGATGTCCCAATACCTTAAGTACAAATGGCTAAGACAGCACAAAAGCTCATTGTGTAGGACCAACTCTGTACAATAAACCTACAGCCGGTACAGAGGCAGGACAGGATTGTTAGGATTAATGGAGCACATGTATACCTTATAGCTAGTTTTTCTTGTTCACCTTGCTATCCTCCCTTTTACTGAAAAATGCACAAGTACGACAAGGCAGGCAGTAAGGAGGAGATCGGTTTGGGTTTTCTGGCTCAACCAGTATCTCCTGAGAACTTGCCCTGCAGAAAACTGCAAAGCAGATACATCTCCCTCTAAGCAGTTGCTACCAGCAGAGACAAAAAAAATGCTACATTTCTGGATCTAGAAATAGAAGACTTACGACAGCAGATGTGTCAGGAGGGCACCGTATTTCAGGCAGATTCCCTTTTGGGAATCCCAGCTCTTCCGGTTGCCCGCGTGAGGACAGACCATATCACTAAAGCACAGGGATAATTGTGCTTATTCATCGGGCTGACGGGGAGGGGGGAAAAAAAAAAAAAGACAAGAGAGGCCATACTGAAGCCCCAAATGTTTGCACAACACTCCTATTGATGTCAATAGGAAATGACCCTTGAATCCAGCAAGTGGCTTAGGGCGAGGGGAGAGGGGAGAATAAACCACATGAAGTACCAAATTAAAGACTGGAAACATGCATAGATCTTAACCCATCTCTTTGCGCATACATAAACCAAAATAACAAGTGACCTTCCTTTGAAGATTGCTGGACAACAAAAGTGGATTTTGTAAACCACAGTCCTGAAATTAAGGTCTTCCACACTTTAACTCAAGAGACTTTCTAATGTTCCCACTAATACACGTTAATAATTGTTTACCTGGCAATTCTTAGAGATGTTACATATCTCCCTCCACAATCAATACTGTTGCATTAGCATAAAAAAAAATCAGGCTCAGGTTCACAAAATTGGTTTTCTGTGTTGTACTATGTATCTGTGTATATGTGTATCTATGTTGTATGAGGTACTTGGTACTGCTTGATGGTTCAGTTCGGGGATAGATTTCACCAGCTATAGAGTGATACAGTTCATTGCCTCAAACAAATTTACACAGCCAAGCATCTCTTGAATTTACAGTTCATCCCCATGAAAATATAAGGCTAATTAATCATTACAGAAAATTAATTTAGTATTTGAGATAATGAGCAGCTAAGAGACAGTAACATATATCTATGACTGTACTCAGATGGGGTAACAGGGACAGAGAAATGAAGTGGCATCGGCTGTGCTATAGAGGAAAGCAATGGTAGAACCAGAAGCACTGCCAGCCATTCAGCGAGTCTCTCAGGAATGAGCAGGTTTGGGGGACATCTTTGTGCACTGATACACTCCTACTCTTTGGTCAGCCCAATCTGCTTATTTGTAGTTCCAGTGAGACAAAAGAAAATAATGGGCATAAAAACATCAGCCATGTTCCCTTCAAACTAGCATCAAGCACTCAAAGACTCTGCAGCACGCATCTTTTAACCACTTGCACAGGACAGGAACAATACTGCATCCCAGCAGACAGCACATCTCCTCCTGATGGGAGTGATTCAGCTTGGATGGAGATAGAAACAGATTCTGCCCACTAGTAAGAAAGAAACTGTAGCGGAGACAGAGTTAATATTAAATGGAAAGCCAAAGAGGAAATAAAATGCTTTGATGAAAGATATATGGGTCATCTGATGTAAGCCCTGGAACTCAGTTTACGCCATGAAAAACCTCAATCAAAATGGTATTTTATGCTAACTGCTTTCCCCTTGACCTCTGAATGTTTAACTGCAGTTACTACACAGAACTGTTATCAAAACAAGACTGCTCCCAGCCAAGCTTCATAAACACAGTTTATTTCCCTCTCTGTGGAACTCTATCACTGAGAATTTGGTCCTAAGTCCTCACAATTCCTTTATATATAAATGTTTTTGTTTTGATTTTGAAAAATTAATTCTCCCTATGACTTATTCCAGCAAATACATTGCTTTGTGGCTAATGGTTCCCATAATTCATTGGTATAGCATGGACAGGGTTCAGATACTTGTACTTTTATAGCACCAAACTGCTTGGATTATATTTTTTCCTTGAAAAATACCTTCCAAGCCTTGTTTACTCTATGTTTTCCACCATCAATACCAGCAAAACTCCTGAAATGGTGAATTACAATCTCAGCCCTGCAATTATAGCAATTGCAGAGGAAAAAGAAAAAAGAAAAAAAAACAACCAAAAAAACCCCCACCAGAAACTAAAGAATCAGTACTTGGATGCTGGAAAACAGGATCCCTTTGTAAAATAAAGCAAGTAATAGTGACCTAACCTGAAGAAACCTGAACTCCTCCGGCATCAAAGAGGGTAAAGAAGTCACTCAAGGCTCTGGTACATAGATCATCTATGAATCCCGCATCACCAACTTATCAGCACTAGCAGGCATAGACTGCAATTTTCTACTAAAACTAAATCAGTAACAGATCATTCTTACTCAGGTATCTAAATCTGTGAAGAAATGTGGCTGCAAGTGTGACTAAACCAAACTGTATTCCCAGTTTCCAAGACCAACTGCAACCAGCTCAGCCCAAAACATACAGCTGAAATATAGAGAGTTCCCCTATACTGAGTTTTTCTGTCTGTCTCAGATGGAAATACAGATTAATATAGGTTAGACTACATCTTTCCATGTCAATGCTTGGTGGTAAAGCTAGAGACAGGGGCAGAGGGGACCAATGCTGAGACTCTGCAATGATTTGATTGAATGGTCTGACCTTGACCAGGACAATATCTTTGTCCTCAGCTGACAAAGGTTTAACATCCACAGGGCTCAGATGGAAGGAAGAGCCTGAAAGAAACAGGCAATGGAGAGCAGCGGTTTCACAGCAAGCTCCCTTTACCATGGTGATATTCAACATTGCTGAATGTTAGTCTTAAACCCAGTGCTAAAGGCCAGCAACCTGCTGAAATTCTTTTCCTTCCGTGCTCTGGACATTGGCCATAGCTGCACCACCACAGGTTCAAGACAGCTTCACAGCTGGTGACCAGCCTGGTCATGTAATATTGAGCACATACATACGAGGGCACCTAAAGCATCTCTGTCACTACTTGAAATGAAGAATACATTTTGCAAGCAAATCCCCAGCACAGCTGAGGCCAAAGCAGGCTCCTGCCTGCCTGCGCGACCCGGTGCTCCCCTCGCACGGAGCTTGCCACAACCCTTCTTCCCTACCTCAGGCAGGGGACACAACCGTAATAAACATCTGGAAAACCACATTAAATTCCTGAGATGCAATTTGTCTCCCAGCTTCACTGAAAGCTTCAAGGGCACCAATAAAAACCTGGGTGGGTGATGATATACTGTAATTTGTATTTTGAACAGACATTCCCTGAGTAATAGCAAATTTATGCAATATCCTCCTAGGCTAGAGTTTGAGCAATTCTGCTTTACAAACAAGAGTAGTATCCAGCAAAGTAGTAACCACCCAGGTCCAAAGAGTTCCTGCTTGGTTATTCATAAAGCAATTTCATCTATCTTAAAGAGGATTTATAGACTGTTTACTTTTTTAACTTTTATTGTCTTCGGTAATTAATGCACATTAAATGCAGTCATGACCACTTAGTTTGGGGACAAAAACTGAAAGAACTGAAAGTCAACAATTTTCTATGGATGAAAAATAATTTAGTTCAACATGGGAATGCTTTCACACGCTCAGAAATTACAAGCTACAACACTTTAACTGATTTCCATTGCTGGAATTTAGTCAGCCGTCAGGAATTCTAGGCAACTTCTGATTATAGAAGATTATCATTATTTCAAGCTCAAAGTCACATTTTGTTCAAAGATTATTTGCTATACAACCACAATATCCTGCTTGCTTTTTTGTTGTTTTGGTATTACATTTCAAGGGCCACTTGCACTACGCATTTTGTGGTTTTCTGCATGACACACCGATACAATACACTAATTTCCAATTAGGATGCTGATGTTCCAGACCAATATGACTCAGGCCTTCCTTCTAGCCAAGCAGTCTGCTTGCCTTTCCAGCAAATAATTAAACCCTAACCTTATACTAAGCAATATCCCCAACAAAAGTCAGTGGAAAGAAAAAAAAACAACTGCGAGTCCTCTTTCTCAGAATGGATCCACACAGCACCAGACAGAACCAGCCTGGAAACTGTTTGATTATTAAGCCAAGCTGGCCAATAAAAATTCCATTTAGCAACTTTATATGGACATCCTAAACAGCGCACAGATAAAGGCAAAGGAATGC